CTGGGAAAGAGACTGTGAGAGACTGTTGGCTGAGGGACAGTGGGCTGGGAGAGAGACTGAGCATTTTTCCTGAACTTGAATTGTAGCCTGTGGTGATTCCCTAATAAACCCCATAATTTGTGAGCTCTGTGTGGCCACTGCAGCAAATTATTGAACCCAGGAGAGAGGTGGTGGGTGCTTTGGGAGGAACAGTTGGGGAAAGGGCTGGAGGGAGGCAGCATGTCTGGCCTGGCAGAAATAGGCCTTGGGTTACTACTGGTAATCCTGTCTTCCTCTTGTAGGGTCAGAGGAGGTTGGAAGATGTGGCCTCCTAGCTGTTTTAGCAATTAATGATACACCCATGGTAGACAGACAAGGCAGTACACCTGGACACTCTTTTATATCAGGAGCCTAGTGAGATTAAAATCAATCAATCAATCAATCTTGCCCTGATTTTTGGCACAGTGTTCACAGGAAATGGTTAAAAATAAAAAGGAGAAGAACAACAACAAACCTATCCAAATGCAATTAACTAATAAAGCCATATGCTTTATCTCAGGAGTGACGTTAGTAGTCTGAAGTTCAACACAGCATTAAAAGAACAGACTCAAGACCTAATAAAAACATAATAGAATAAAACATACTAAACTAGTGAGAGAAGTACCTGCCTGTATTCTTCTCACTAAATTGAGTCAGAAGTCAGTCAAAGCTAAAAACATAAAATCCAGGTCAATGATTTTAGCAATCTTAATCCAAGGTTAAGGAGCCCTAGTGATGCAATGGTTAAGGGTTTGACTGCTAACTGAAAGGTTAATGGCTCAAAAATATCAACTGCCCCACAGAGAAGGAAACCTGGAATGTGCTCCCATAAAGATTACAGCCTGGGAACCCCTAAAGAGCAGTTCTACTTTGTGATAATGGGCCTCTATGGGTTGAAATCAACACAGCAGCATAAAACAATCCAGTGTTGTTGTCAAGTCAAAGCACTCTGAGAAAATCAAAGACTGAGTGTTTGTTTTTACTATGGAAAAAAAAAACCCAGCTTAAAGCTTGAATCTGGTATTCGTGTTCCAGGAACAGCAGTGAAATACTGATTGCTTACCTTTCAGCCAAACAGCAGACAGACGTATACAGTGAGCAATTACATCCGTGAGGAACGTAAGCCTCAGAATAATCAACCGTATGAGACCAAAAGAGTAGCATTTGCCTAAAAACAAAGCTCAGAAGGAAGGTACAGGAAAGAAGGACAAATGACACGGGGAAGCCAGGAAGGGAGTGGGAAGGGTGCTGTTACATTGAGGGTACTGCAACTATGTCATGAAACAAACTGTGTATGAATCGTCGAATGGAATGCTTATTTGCTGTATAAACTTTCACCCAACCACAATAAATAAATAAATAAGACTTCTGAAGTTACCCTGCTCCCCATTCTTCACTCTGTTTTATAAGCAAGAGGTTAATAAGGAAGTGAGTTTCATGAAAGCCTGTTTCAGGGCATATCTTAGGGGTTGGTGCACTTTTATACTGTTGTTGTTGTTGTTATGTGCCATCGAGTCGGACCCGACTCATAGCGACCCCTCCTTGGGTTTCCGAGGCAGTATCACTATGGAAGTAGATTGC